ACGCGTGGAGCAAAGCCATTAATCAAAATCGAGGTGTTATACACTACGAGATTGTCGAATGTTATCTTTGTATAAAAGACATATGGTAATTTGAGAATGTATGTAGACTTCACAAATCTCAACAAGGCGTGCTTGATGGACGCAATATACCCCATGCCTAGAATTATTGTTGATATCACTACATACCATGAAACGCTTATCTTCTCGACAAACAAAAGCCAAAATATGGGGTTATCTACTATCTACTATACTTATAATATGTCGAAGGGATAAGCGGGAGCCCCATTTCAAATTTCCTGCAACGAGAGTGAAAGTAGGAAGGACATTTTGGTATTCAGAATTACTTTTTTTTTATTCATTAAAAAGACACGTAATCAAACCTAGTATATCACTTGTAAATTTTTTATTTACATAATCATTTAAGTGTTCGTCGAGCTACGGCCCAACCCACTATGCCTCTTTTCAAAACGTGGTCCAATGCTCTACCCAGTCCTGGATTCGCCGTTGAGTGGGTGTGTGCGCCTCCTTGTGACAATGGGAGGGCTGGGCAACTCATACTATAGAACTTGTCATAGTGGATTTTCCCTTTCCATATAATGTTAGCTCCGACGTTGCAGAACACCGGATCCCTGTAAACGCGTGGAGCAAAGCCATTAATCAAAATCGAGGTGTTATACACGACGAGATTGTCGAATGTTATCTTTGTATAAAAGACATATGGTAATTTGAGAATGTATGTAGACTTCAAAAATCTCAACAAGGCGTGCTTGATGGACGCAATATACCCCATGCCTAGAATTATTGTTGATATCACTACATACCATGAAACACTTATCTTCTCGACAAACAAAAGCCAAAATATGGGGTTATCTACTATCTACTATACTTATAATATGTCGAAGGGATAAACAGGAGCCCCATTTCAAATTTTCTGCAACGAGAGTGAAAGTAGGAAGGACATTTTGGTATTCACAATTACTTTTTTTTATTCATTAAAAAGACACGTACTGGGATTTGAACCATGACCATTTTAAAGAAAAGCAAGGATAATAACCAATCACACTAAGTACATTTGTTGTATCTTTTTAAATTAAAAAAATTTAATAGCATGAAAGAAAAATCCCTTCCCCCATTTCAAATTCCTTGCTCCAGGAGCGTTTGTAGGAAGGGTAGAATAGGGAGTATCAATTTTTTTTCTCTTTTCTCTGTGGAACGGGCCAACTTACCGTACACATGCGAATTTAAACGGGTGATAAAATATATATGAAAAGGCAAAAATAATAGTCCTTTTTATTGTTAAAAATAAAAAATTTAACAATAAACTAATGCATGGTATCTAATGGGCTAACCGCTAATCATAAAATAAAAGAGTTGAATGTGCCTGACCTACATGGGATTTGGCCATCAAGTAAAACAAATGAACATCATTGGTTTGCCATTCTAAAACAAACTATTTTCTCTGGCATAATATATATTATGCTATTATTTATATCTTAGTGGCTAAAATATAATGTATTTTAAAGTTATTCAATGGTTCAACCTCGACCAACCCAATTAGTCCAATTTTTATCATTTCAAATATGTATTATATAATTATTTGATATCATAATGATCAAATTATAGTGTATTTTATAGGGAATCGTTTAGTATTTGTTAGTAAAAAATTAAACATAAAGATCTATTTGGTTATTTTAAACATTAAAACGATCCTAAATATTTTCAGTTCCTTTTGAATTTCTATGATTTTATTCCCGAATAAGTGATGTGCAAATGGCGAATTGTAGTCGTCTATTTTCTTTCACTATTTTTATTTTCAAATAGAAAGTTTAAAAGTAAAGAATAATTAGAATTTGGCATGGGTCGGTCAAACAGGCTGAATTTCAAGTTTTGGCCCGTTTGTTTTATGCATTGCAAATTTATTAGCATGTTGATGGAAATGACTTGGAAAAAAGACATATAAGTTGTACCTTTGCAGAAATGTCCTCAAATGTTTGAATGCTTTGCGAATCAGGTTCCGTGACTTTTGTGATGGTGTATATGCTTGACGATTGCTCGATGTTGTAACTACTTAATTTAAGAGTAAATATTTTGATTTTCCCTATGAGTTGTGATACCAGTTCTGGTGGTTGCAGCATGTTGTCGTTGTTGGCCTGTAAAAGTTGTTCCGACGTGATGCTAAATACTTTTCTTTCTTTTTTAACAAATTGTGTACTAGTGCTATGAAACAGACCACCCATGAACGCTACGCTTATTATGGTATGTTCTTACTTCCGGTGGTGAGAAATTGTGAATTGAGAATCATATTCTCCTACCGCACTGTGTCTGGCTGGTGGTTGCTAACTATGCTCTCTAGTGTTATGAAACAGACTACCCATGAACGTTATCCTTAAGAGTCCATAACTTTGAGAAAAACCAAATTTAGGCAATCAAAGGTGGTGGATGTGTGATGATTTTTTATGGCTTAATTGTTTGTGAATTGGATATCTGATCTTTGTATGATTAGAGGGGATGTTTGCTTAAAAGAATAATCCATTTTAATTCATGTTTATTTTTAACATGAACTTTAGTAACTCCAAACCTTCGAGACACATATCACCTACTGCATTGTATCATTTTGTCTGGGTGCTTGCTGTGTTGTCAAACTTCTTTCCTGCTGCTGTTCCATTTACACTAACAAGGGAGTTAAAAACCCATGAATGTTTCCGTTTGACACAAACAGGAGGACTTGCTTCTAAATCGTGTACTAAAGATGATTGGAGGAAACATCTCTGTTGCAGTTGATATACTGGAGACCAGAACAAAAGCAACGTATAACATCAAAACCAACCATCTGAACTATTAGCATTGTTGCTTTACTCTTTTTTCGTGGTTGAGTCTCCTTCAAAAAATTTAGTTTGATTTTAGAAAATTTTGCTTCTGCAGTCCTGTCTTGCCACCAACGCGTTCAGTAGATGGAGATGGCAGAGGCGAAGGCTATTTTTGTGTTGTTGTTGCTGGTTTAGGGATCGGTTTGTGAAGAAGAGGGAGAAGAGAGGGGGAAAGGGAAATGCAGGAGAGGGGGATAACTCTTTTCTCCGACAAAAATGGAGCGAAGAAAGGAATTATAATCAGTAAGGATATGATTATCTTACATAACGGTCTCTATTCTGTTTGAATTGAGCTTGGGAGGCAGTGATAAGGACGAGCTGCAACCAATTCATAGTGAGAAGAGAGTTATGAACTGTGATCATGTCTTATTTCAAGTTAGAATGTAGTTTCAGTATAAGGATTATTTAATTTGACAAGTTGTTTCGTCCATGATTCTTGGTAGTTTCAGTACCATTCTAGCCATTGTTTAGTCTGTAATTTTTGAGAATTGATGTGTGAGTAATGACTTTCACTTAGCTTCAACTATTATGTGTGTATTTATTGGCACGTGATAGAATTCTCTTTTCCTTTTCTTTGAATTCAGTTTCATACTTTAATTGTATCATTTGTACATAGGCAAATCATGCTCGAGATGACAACTCGCTGATATGGCTGGTGCAAGGAATGAAGCCATCATTAGAATTCAGAACGACAACGAGGAGGGATGCCCAGGACTAATTCAATGATGATTGATGATGGTATAATAAAAACTGCAGTCTGCATCAGCACCAATTTCTAGGCCTAAGTAAAGTTATTCAACCCAGAACTCTGCTTAGCGCTAAAAATTGCCCTCACCCAACCTTGATCCTGTTTGACCCACTTCTGAATAGTCAAGATATATGACTAATCTTCTCCGTTCGTATTTTCTTATTGACTCTTTCTGGCCCTTTAGGTTGGGGCGGGTCGGGAAGAATCGGATTAGTGGGTCGGTCCTAATCAAGTGGAATCCCAATCCCTTCACTCTCATTTACTTTCTCTCCCATTCCACAAGTGGGTAACATACAGTAATCCGGCCAACGGGCCGGGTAATAAGCTAGTGTTATGTGATGACACTTGGAAAGTGATGTCTTTCATGCCATTTTATTAGCTGATATTTCCTCCATCTTAATGCATATTTAGTAATTTTCACTATCTTTTGCTTGTCGCATATGCACAACAGAGAGCACACAGCATAGTCTTCTTCCATATGTCCATGCAAGGAGCCAACTTCCACTTTCCTCCCTCTCTCTTTAAACGAGCTGAAATTCTGAATTAAAAATATAAAATACCTAAACTATTACCACTACCACACTAGAAGACAGAAAAACTCCACTTCACAAAAACTCCAACAAGAGCGAAAAAATTTCATAAACAGAGTTGCTGAAATATCCTTCGCTGCAAACTTTTCTTCCTTTCCAAATTCCTCCCATCTCAATTCGGCGGTTCCCATTTACTTGCGCCCTTCTTTTCCCCCTCACCTCCTCCCCTTCTTCATCCCAATGGCTTCTCCTCCTTCTTCTTCTTCTTCCACCCTCCCTCCTTCCACTCTCCTCCTCCTTGCTCTGTTCCTCAACCCTCTCGCCGGATCGCCGGAACATGCCCCACACGCCGGCTCCGGTCCAGCCATTTCCTCCACGTTGTCGCCGGAGACGGTAGTAATTTCCCCCGACCAAACTCCGGCGAATTCCCCCTCTCCACCGTCGTCTTCCTACCAGAAGCTGCTGAAAATTCTGGGCGTTGTTGCCGGCATCGCGGTGGCGGTCGCCGGACTGATCTACTTCATCTTCTGCTGCTTCCGGAGGCGGGATCGGAGTAGTAAGTACGGCGGTACGATGAAGAAGCAGAGGAGCTTCCGCTTGCAGGAGACCGGCGGGGTCGACCAGCTGAAGACGGTCACGACGGTGGTGAAAGACATGGTTATCAGTGACAGCGGTGGCGGTTTGGTCGGGAGCTCTGGCGGCGGCGGTGGGGGAGAGCCCAAGGATGACGGCAACAATTTCTCGCAGTTCAGCTTGAATTCCAGCTTCGAGGTGGAGAAATTGGTCGACGTGGCCAGCGATCGTAAGAACAGTAGCTGGCAGATCGTGGTTCACGAGCCCGTTTACGGCGGCGAAATGGAAAATCATAAGTACTACGAAGAAGCCGATGATGATGATGATGATACGCCGGTTGGAAGTCAGACGTTGCCGTTGCCGGCGCCAGTTGCTTCCAATCGGAGACAGCCTTTTCTATCATCATCATCATCACCTTCTTCTTCTTTTTCTTCTTCTTCCCCACCGCGAATTTCCTCCACTCTGCCAGCGGTTCCAGTGCCGCCGTCGACTCCGGCGAATTCTCTCCCTCCTGCCCCGCCACCGCCTCCGCCTCCTCCGCCTCCACCGCCATTACCGATGGAATTCGTTAATAAAGATAGATCTAATAACAATCCAGGGAATGGATGGGGATCGTCTGCGTCAAGCCGGCCGCCGACGGCGCCAAGAGAGAAAACTACCAAAAACAGAGGATGGGGAAGAAAAACAGAGGAGAATCTTGATAGCATTAGCTCTGATCACACAAAGCTCCGGCCTTTTCACTGGGACAAGGTTGGGGCTAATAGCCATGATCATTCAATCGTTTGGGATGAACTTGAAGACGGCTCGATCAGGTTTCCTTCTTCTCAGTTCACCATTTTTATCCCATTTTTTCCAAGCTCAAAGCTCCGTCCTAAATTGTACAGACTCCTCTGTTTTTCCAGGTTCGAGGACGGCCAAATTGAGGCATTATTCGGTTACAGGAAGAAACCCAATTCTTCTTCCAGAACCCCAATGCACGCTGCATCATCGGCGAACTCAAGCGGCAGAAGCACTCCATCATCCAACGCCCCGATCTTCATCCTGGACCCGAGAAAATCCCTGAACGCGGCGATCGTCCTGAAATCGTTAGCAACCACGCAGAACCAAATCCTGAGCGCTCTACAGGAAGGCTACGGAGTTCGCCCCGATATCCTCGAGAAGCTCGCCAAGATCTCGCCCACCAAGGAGGAAGCTACCCGAATCTCGCGATTCAACGGCGACCCGGGGAAGCTGGCCGACGCCGAGTCCTTCCTGTACAGCATCCTGAAGGCGGTTCCGACGGCGTTTTTCCGGGTGGAAGCGATGCTGTTCCGATCGAGCTACAATTCGGAGATTCGCAACCTGAAGATGTCGCTGAAGACGGTCGAGCTGGGATGTCAGGAGCTTCGAGAACGCGGATTGTTCTTGAAGCTCCTGGAAGCCATCCTGAAGGCCGGCAACAAGATGAATGCCGGGACGTCGAGAGGGGATGCCAAAGGGTTCAACCTCACCGCTCTCAGGAAGTTGTCCGATATCAAGAGCACCGACGGAGAGACCACTCTGCTCCGGTTCGTGGTGGAGCAGGTGGTCCGATCGGAAGGAAAGAGGCAAGTTTCGAAGGAGAACTCGACGATGATGACAGAGGAGGAGCGGAAGGAGGAGTTCCTATCCCTCGGGTTGAGATCGATGCAGAATTTGGGCTTGGAATTCTCCAATGTAAAGAAGGCGGCAGCGATTGAGAGCAGAGAATTCATTACCACTTGCTCTGCTCTGGCAGCGAGACAGATCGAGACGAAGCGAATCCTGACCGGGTGCAAGGAGGAAGAGAGAGGGGAGTTCATGAGGGAGATGAGGGGATTTCTGGATGAATGTGAGGAGGAATTGAGATCGGTGATCGAAGAGCAGGAGAGAGTGATGGAGCTTGTGAAGAGGACGACGACGTATTACCAGGTCGGAGGAGGGAGAAACAGGGGAGCCGGTGAGCAGCCGTTGGAGCTGTTTGTGATTGTGAAGGATTTCCTGGACATGGTGGATCGGGTATGTACAGACATTTCTCGGAGTCGTAGTAGGAAGAAGAACGGCGGCGGAACGAATTCAACGAGGGTGAGGGCGACGGCGACTCTGCCGCCGGCGGCTGGTGGCAATACCAGTTCAGGCAAACAGGTCCCGCGATTCTTCAATTTTTCGCCCGCTTCTGCTGCTGTAGCTGATGCATCCGACGAGGAGGACGACGACTTCTGAACAGAGATATTCATTAGGGTTATTTTGTTAAGTACTAACTATTTTTCTCCCCCCTGTTTCTTTCACCATTAGAGTGCGATTCAAGGAATTGTGTGTACATCACGAGATTGCAATAAAGAGTTTGTGCAGTTACTCATATTCAGCACAGTTACACTTGTTGCGTTTCAGATACATATTCAACGGGTTGATCTCGGATTGCCCTGGACCAAACCAATCGTTTGGACAAGTATCATACCTAATCGAATATAATGTGCTCCAGCTGTAGATCCCATCAATTTTATAAATGTTGAGAAAAAATGGGTTGAATTGATATTTGGATCGGACCAAAGCGGACATAATGCACAGTTGGTCCGATACTCGGTCTTAAAATATCCTTCATTATTGGATCGCGGTTCTCATGAATTTGCTTCGGTCTAACCCCCTCGATTTTGAAATATAGGTAAAATCAAATGTAAAATTCGTAACAAGTTTAGAAAATATAGCAATCGGTAAGGCATTAGCTGTTAGTGGATTTGGGCTTTTAGCCCATTGTTGTATCGTATGTCGAGTGTAATTGGGTGTAGCGCAGAAACTAGCCCTAGCGAGAACTTGAGTGAGCTAGGGTTAGGTGGTAGTATTTATGTACAGCAAGGGTCTTGTAATCAAACTAAGAAAACTAATAAGACGATCAGCTCGGAGAGTTCTAGCTCTCCCGTGGACTAGTCCCGATATCGGGGAAATCACATAAACCGTGTGTCGAGTTTTCTTCTTCGTTTTCGTATAAGGTTATTGAGTGTTTTGATACTGTCTAACATTAGCCCCCCTTCCTAATTACCACAGTTCAAATTAGCCTAACTATTTAGATTTCTGATTCCGCCAATGCTGTGTAATGGTGCTCGACTGTGGAGGGCCCCCCAGTTGTGATCCTGTTGGCAATTAAGACGATCATTGAGAAAGAGTCTTTTTGGAGTTTAATCATCTCTCGTTGTAAGATTGTGGTTGATGCGCTAGAGAAGTCATGTAATGAGTCGGCAAGACATCAGCCCCTCCCTAATTGTCAGTTGTCACGGTTCAAATTAGCTCATCCATTCATATTTCTGGCTCTCCGCCACTACTGTATAATGGTGCTCGGTTGTGGAAGATCAGTTGTGATCCTGTTGGCAATTAAGACGGTTATTTGAGAAAGAGCTTTCCGAGTTTGATCATCTCTCTCGTTGTAATATTGTGGTTGATGTGCTCTGTAATGAGTGGCAAGACGAATCATATAAGCAAGAAAAGGGTCTCTGCGACAGCCGACAACACCCTGCTTCCGGGATGGATCTCTTTGGTATTGTGATGCCTTCCCCATTTGGCATTTGGCGCTCTTCCGCCGGGCGGTCTCTCATGGATTCAAACTTAGCTTGTCTCTTTCAGGCTGTCGATCGGCATTGCCTTCAACCTTTGGAGGTTTGGACTAATCCTTCCTTCTTTCTTTCTTTCTCCCGTCTTCCATCTCTGCCACATGGATTCCGATATCTAACCTCTTGAGTCTTGTCCTCTTATCTCTTTTCCAAACAGTATAAGCCGTTTTCCTTTCTTCTGAGGAGGTTTGCATTTGCTATTCACTGACCTCTTTGTTGTTACGTTTGGGGTGGGACTTGTTTAAGTAAGTATGTAATTGTCTACCAGGAATTTTTTTATAGATAAGTTTCCCTTTTAATTAATCTTAAGAATGCTTGCAAAGTATTTATATTCCACTATTCCTTAAGTTTTTAATATCTCTTTCCGATGACTAGTTGGCCCAAGGTTGTTAAACAACTATCGGATCTCTGGTTGGAGCCGGTCCGACCTAAGATGGGCTTCAAAACAGCCTCTAAAAAGCCCCTCGGTATGACCCCTAAAGAGGGAGAAGAAAAGAGGGAGAATAAAGAAGAAAGGGAGATGGTGGGTGAGTCATGGAGGTTAGATAGATTTATTTTGTGGAAATTAAGTTTTTAATAGATACATGTAAGAACAATTTCATTTCAGTCATTAAATATTTAATTATTACCTTATAGATATATATATATATATATATGGTGCCTTCTACGGTACCCCGGGTGAAATCCGGGGTACCGCATACTTTGAGTATGGAAACGGTGTCTAGACCTCGAATTAGCAGGATTTTTGGGTCTGATACTATACCATAACCCTTAATGAGTGAACCCTAGGTCCTAATTATCTAAATCATAATCTATAAACCCTAATTTGGTGCATTCCTTTTTGTGCCTATATTTGGACGAATCATAACCGTCGATTATTATTTCTAATTAAATTGATCTTGGAGTATAAGATTGGGAGAATTAAGACCTAGGTTTTGATCTTTAAGGGTTAGCGTATAGTATCATGTCCGAAAGATCGGTCAATTCAAGGTCTAGATAGTGTTTTCATACTCAAGGTATGCGGTACCCCGGATTTTACCCAGGGTACCGTAGAACTCCCCATATATATATATATATATATATATATATATATATATATATATATATATATATATATATATATATGGTGGCTACTTCGGCGCACTCACTTTTTTGGGTGCACTCAGTGCACCCACTCTAAAAGTGTCCATATTACATCAAATTTTGAACTTTAATTAGTACTCTCAATCTAATATGATGATATGACATAGAATCATAACAAATCAATCTATTACCCTAACCCCTTAACCTTCAATTTTGAATCCCAATCCAAAACCCCAAATTTTAAACCTAATCCCTAACCCTAAATCCCTAAATCCTAAATCCTTCAAATTAAAGTAAATTTTGAATGATTTTTTTTTCAAATTCATGTGCTTCTTGTTCATAATATCATAAGCAACAATTGATACCGTTTTGACATGAATCATATGTTCAGAATGACAATTATGAGGCGGGTGCACTGAGTGCACCCAAAAAAGTGGGTGCACCGAATACGCCACCATATATATATATATATATATATATATATATATATATATATATATGGGGAGTTCTACGGTACCCAAGGTGAAATCCGGGGTACCGTATACCTTGAGTAAGAAAATGCTATCCAGAACTTGAATTGACTGATCTTTCGGACATGATACTATACTCTAACCCTTAAAGATCAACACCTAGGTCTTAATTCTCTAAATCTTATACCCCAAGATCAATTTAATTAGAAACAATAATCGACGGTTATGATTCGTCCAAATATAGGCAAAAAAATCAATGCACCATCTTAGGGTTTATAGTTTATGATTTGGATAATTAGGACCTAGGGTTCACTCATTAAGGGTTAGGGTATAGTATCATGCCCAAAAATCCTATATATATATATATATATATATATATATATATATATATATATATATATATATATATATATATATATATATATATATATATATATATATATGGTGACTTCTACGGTGCCCAGGGCAAAAGCCGGGTACGGGTACCTTGGCCGATCTTAACCGTTCCTTTTCAATCTCCACGGCTCACGTTTGTTAAACCTAACTGCGCCACTAAATAACTAAACAAATTACAAAACGCCTCCTCCGCGTTAAGTTTGTTTTCATCCTAGTCCAACTAACTGCCCCGATTAAATTAAATGGATTAAGACCCAAACCCAATTGGGTAGACCCACTGCCGCCCAAACCAATTTCCAGTCTACCTAACCAATTACACGATCCCTCTCTCGTCTTGGAGGGACGCCCCTTCACAGTTCCAAGAGAAGCTCCCCATCCACATTCGACGTAGATTGAATTTCCCAAAAAAAATTTGTCTTGTTTCTTCTTCGCCATTGTATTTCCCCTCGCCTATCTCTTTCTAACACGATTACGGCGACCATGTCTATTATTGTGTTCATCGAACTTTTCATTTGCAAAAGAACCCTTGAAAGAGGTTTGCTAACCCTAGGGTTCATGTCCCTAGTGCTTTGTCATCTTGTCTTAGTGTTATTGTGATTTTCTCGAGCCTTATATCTCTCGGTGAAATTTAGGTTTCCTGATATGTAGTGTTCGTCTCGCCCAGAGGATTGAGGAAGAAGATGAAGAACACATAATTTGATTCGAATAGGATGGAGAGGTCTCCTTAGTTTGTGTTTATGTATTAACGGTGCGTTTAGGACTAATTCTAGTTGGACTGGGTCTGATCATTGATTTTTGCAAGCTTTTAAATAACATTCAAACGTGGGCTTGTACATGACCCATGCAATATTCAAAAGTGGGCCTGGAATGTGCGAGCCCATTAGTTTTCTCCTGCAGTATCAGCGCCAACCCTAGTTTAACTAGCTTTAGTTACCCTAGTTTAACCTACACGAGTTAACATCATCATTACTACATATCTTCCCAAATCTTCTAACTCTTGACATTCCAGACTCAACCGTCTCCATCACACGTCTCCACACTCAACCCCCACGATCACTTTTTCTTACACCTACAATCTCTCTTTCCCTACAATCTCTCTTTCCTCCATCTTCACCTTCCCTTGTTCCTTCTTCCTCTGACTCCATGGAAAACATGGGCATTCTAACTCTATCAAACGACAACTGCCGATCCACCACAAGTCTCGCGGACTATCTTTCATTCACGAGCAAGACATCTATTGTGGCCGAGTACGAGTTCATCCACCTGAGTCCTTTCCCTCAAGAAGTGAAGAAGTTAATTAAAAATCTTGGCTGGGAAAAGTTCTTCGATCTCCGGAGTCGAGGAAGCACCAGTTACTGCCCGCATGTGGTGAGGAAGTTCTACCACAATTTAGAGCTGTCTGGTCCCTCCGATTCTCATCTCGTGTCGATCTTCGTGGGTCATAGAGTCTGCTTCCAGCCTCATCAGTTTGCTGAGATCCTCGATCTCCCCGCCGCAGGACACCGCATTGATAGCAGAAGCGATCTTCGGCGGCTGTACGATTTTGAGTTCGAAGTTGAACTGGGGAAACTGACGAATGGGCGCATCCAGGCTTCTTTCCTCCCAGATCCTCTTCGATTCCTCCATTGGATGATCGTCAACTGCTTCATGCCAAAGTACAGTGGTCATTCGA